CGCAGTCTGAGTCCCTGATCCGGCGGCTTAAAACTCGCATTAGGCATGTGTGCATGTGTGTCCAAAATCCCGAGAGGTAACTGGAGAAGGGACTGTCGTATGGTCAACCCCCGGGGAGGTGATTTCTCGCTTTCTGTCTGTCTCACTGGCGAGCACACCAGGTCTGTGGTAAAAAAAAAAAAAGAAAGAAAGAATATGAGAATTTCAAATTTCCTCCACTTAGGCATTTATACTTTAGTGCCTGTTTTATTTCAGGATGTTACTGTAGTACTGATGGTTATATAACCCACTGTTTATGTATCTTAAAATGTAATCATTTTTAAAACACGAAGAATTATATTTACAGTGGAGCTTTGGGAAAAGGCTATTTAAAATGTTCTTAGATGTGTTTATCTGCTTCATTTCTAGAGATACTTATACTAAAGTAAAACTGAGAACTTTGTAATTTAGATGCATCTTGAATTCAAAAACCCTTCTGTGCTAGCAGAAGCCTACAACACAGTACCTTTTCTAATCTGCTTTAAGTAAAATGTTTGTCAAGAGTTTTTCTTTGAATAGTAGATTAGGTCTCTAACTGTATGCTTCTCATACATTTTGATTAAAGCCCCATTATACAATATGGCTGAAGAATGAAGAACCAATTCTCTCCAACTATACAATGATATAACTGTAGCTCAATTTTAGTTTTCATATACCCTCATAAGCAAAACCCACCTCTACCTTTTTCTGTATCCTGTGCCTTTGCAGTCTACAGTTCTGAAATTCCCTAAATTTAATTATTTGAGGACTGCTAAAATTCATTCTTAAGGCTGTGTAATAACTATTTGGTCATTGGAAAAGTCATGATGCATTTTTGCATAGAAAAACATAGAAAAATTCATCATGATTTTTTTTGACAACCCAATAGATGTGACTTTACAATTCTGTATCAAGAATTAATATTTGGTTCACAATATTATCATAGTGGTTTCAATCTACTTACTAGTCCTAACCAGTCAACCAAGTAATCTTGTCATTAACTGTATATCACCAATGAGCACACTGCTTATCCTTAAAGGAAAATAAGTTTACATTTACTATCATCTGTAAGTACTTTCTCTTCATCCTACTTCCCCTTCCCAAGTCTACACATCATTCATTCATCACATTTCCTTCCTTAAAGGAGATAGTGTACTACTGAAAAAACAGTATCTGATTTACTATTTGCCACTGAATGACTTTACACCTCTGTTAAAAAATCAACTGTCGGGAACCAGCAGTTAGCGTAATGGCTATGTCACTGGACTCCCACGTAGTCGACCGCGGTTCGTGTCCTGGACCCGGTGGCTTAAAACTCACGCCGGGCGCGTGTGCGTGCGTGCCCAAGATCCCGGGAGGGGAAGGGATTGCGACGTGACCATCCCCCTTGGGGGGTGATTTCTCACTTTCTGTCTCTATGTCTCTCTCTGTCTGCCTGGCAAGCGCACGCGCCCTATAGTGAAAAAAAAAAAAACCTCTCAAAAAAAAAAAAAAAATCAACTGTCCATGGGGCCAGAAGGTGGTGTGGAGGTTAAGGCAGCCAGATCCCACATAGCTAACTCCACGGTTTGAGTCCTGAACCTGGCAGTTTGACGATCATGTCAGATGCATATGTGCCTGCCAAAAACCCAAGAGGAAAATGGAGAAGGGACTGCAGCATGGGCCATCCTCCAGGAGGGTGACTTCTCATTTTCCTTCTTTGTCTCTGACAAAGAAAGTAGTTAGGGGAAACAACCATAGTAATCCAAGAAGATAGTGAAACCTTGGCCATGGGCACTGAGACCTGGGAAATGGATTTTTTCAAAATAAAAAATTAAAATTATCAGGACTTCAATTCCACTTCTGATCAAGATGGAATAATAAGGATGGATTTAGCTTTCCACCTGAAAAGACAGGACTTGATGCATCAATTTTCAAGAAACTGGATTATCAGTAAATGAAAGAAAGTGAGCCTAAAGAAAAAGGAATAAAATGAACCTTATAATTGCCCTAATCTACAGTAAAGTGTTTCCAGGCTTTAGTAAAGGGAGGGGTATCCCTGCCAGCTTGAGCTGAAGAGCGAGAGCTGAGAATTTGGGAAGAATGAAAGGCTAGAGCTTGAACAACAGAATACCAGAGAAAAGAGTGCTACAGACAGAACCTCAAGATCTGCAGAGCAGAGTACTAATCATCCCTTACATGTGAGAAAACTGCACATGACAGGGAAAACAATAATCCAAAAAGATTAAAACGAACAGTGCCAGACCTTCATACAAAGCAAGGAATAGTGCCTAGTTCCAACAGTCAAACCAAAAAAAACCTCATAAATAACGGGGCATTGGGTAGATAATTGAAAATAACTTCATTTATTATTTTTCAGAGAGACATTTTTGCTATAGTATGTGTGTGCTTGCCAGAGAGACAGAGAGTGGGACTTACCCCCCAAGGGGGGTGGCTGCACCTCAATCCCTTCGCCTCCATTCTCCTCTTGGGATTTTGGACATGCATGTACATGTGCCTGGTGTGAGTTTCATGTTGCCAAGTCAGGGACTTGAACCATGTGAGAGTCCAGCAATGTAACCATTATGCCATTTGCTGGTTCCTCCTTAATAGCTTTAAAAGAAGTTGAAATGGTAGCTAAAATTGTTTAAATAAAACTCCAGGCATGAATGACTTCTTCACTGAAAAATTTTACTAAATATTTAAGGAAGAAATAATAATCCTAAGCAAACTCATCTAGAAAATTTAAGAGGGGGAAATACTTCCTAACTTGTTCTATGAAATTAGCACTACCATTATCTTTGTCTGATACCAAAGCCATCAACATACCCATGAACATAGATGCAAGCATTCTAAACAAAATTTTAGCAAGTTGACTCTAACAATATATTAAAATGCTAATACATGACAAATAAGTTGGGTTTACCCCGGGAATTCAGGTCTGTTACTATATTCTTTAATTTTTTTTTTTTTAAGTTTTGCTATAGGGCAAGCACATGAGAAAGTGAGAAATCACTCCCTAGGGAAGATGGTTGCATTGCAACCCATTCTCCTCTTAGAATTTTGGTCATGCACACGCATGTGCCTGGTGTGTTTTTCAAGCCGCTAGGTCCAAGACTCAGATGGCAAAGTTGGCCATATGGGATCCAACCTCCCTAACCACCGTGTCACCTGCTGGCCCCAGGGCTGGTATAATGTTCTAAGGGCTTCCATGTAAATTGTTATGTTAACAAACTAGAAAAGAAAAACTGTATCATTATATCAACAGATATAAGAAAAGCTTTTGACAAAATCCAGCATTCACTCCTACTTTAATGAAAAAAAAACAACATCTCTCAGCAAAGTAGTAATAGAAGGGAATTTCCTCAGTTTGATGAAGGACATCTAGGAAAAACCTAACAGCTAACATATTATTGGTAAAATACTAATGGGTTGTTGGGAAAGTCATAACGTATTTTTACATAGAAAAACATGGCTTTCTGACAAGCTAATACATGCTCTCTCGGTACAAGGGTATCTACTCTGACCACTTCTATTAACTGGCTAGAAGTTCTAGCCAGTGCAGTCAGATATAGGAAAACAAAAGATATTCATAACATAAAGGAAGAAATAAAACTGTTATATTTGGAGAAAACACCATTATGTAGGTAGAATATCCAAAATATATAAAGAAACTTCTAAAACTAACAAATGAACTTAGCAAGGGCACTAGGATACAAAATCTGCATAAAACGAACTGAATTTTTATATTCGTCTGTTAACATTTAGAGTATGAATTTTTTAAAACTGCAACTTATGGGCTAGCTCTATAACCTTAAGGGAGCTGCAAGGCCAATCACAGTTTGAACCCTGGCAGTCTGAAAACATACTACCTGTGTTTGTATAAATGCCCCCAAATCCTGACAGGATGGAGAAATAAAGAGATTGCGGTGTGACTACACTCCATTGGGGGAGTGCTTCTTCCTGTCTTTTTTTCTCTCTGTTTCTCTCTGGTAAGCATATCCCCCACTCTCGACCCCGGCCATTAAAAAATGTGCAGTTTATGAAAGCATAAAAAATATGAAACAGGGATCAGTGTGGCCTGGTGGTTGAGATGGCTGGATAACACATGGCAGGCTGTGTGGTTCAAGTCCTGGATCTGGTGGCTGAGAAACACACTGGGCATATGTATGTGCATGCCCCAAATCCTGAGAGGAATGGAGAAGAGACTGTGGTGCAGCTTATCCACCATGGGAGGGCGCTATCTCATTTTCCCTCTTTCCCTCTCTTTCTCGCTCTCTCAAGAATTCACATGTACTATAGCAAATTAAAAAAAAATGTGTAGAGATCAATTTGACATAGATTCAAGAATGAAAACTAAGTCATTGCCAAGAAGAAGAATTCTTCATGTAAACATGAATTCTTCAAAACGTTTATGAAAAATATATTTTGAGCTATGCATGGATTTAAAAAATTCTTTACACTACTCATGGATTTAAAAATTTCTTTACATCAAATAAACCTGTACTACCACAAATTTTTTTGAAATCCCCTATCTTAATTAACTGTGCAAATTCAATGACACACTACTTGGCACATAGAAATTCCTTAAGTCCATACTAAACTGAGAGAATTAATTATTTTATCTGTATGTTTTTCTATTTTAAGCTGAAGAACTGTTTACTACTTCACTTATACCCTTCATTAGCACCTGTAACAATACTGAGCTTGATGTTTATTAAATAAATAGGATTAAGCACTTGTTATTCTGATTCCAATATTTTTTTTCACATACCACACTAATTCTTTTCAAGCCAGAGGCGTGGCCTAAAATCTTAAGTTCTGAGATAAGATACCAATCTGATAATAAATTTCCAGTTTTTCATAGTATTTTATATTAATTTTTCCTGCCAATAGTAATAGAGCTTAGTAATGTACAAGTCACATGCAATTGATTTTAGCAAAATTGGAATCACACTGGTAGTACATTTTATAAAAAAACACATTTTGCAAAAACAAATCACCTGTTGATCTGTAGTATACTCTGTAGCACAGTCATGACTATAGCTCCGATTTGAACATTGTCTGTTTGCATCAAGTGTAGGAAATGATCACTCTGCAGCACTAAAGGAATAAAAAAGAAAAGAAAGATTAAAGCAAAGATTCTGTAATAACACAAATGGCATTCTGACCTTGCTAAACCAAATCAAAGCATGACAATTTCTGCTAAACTTCCTGGCTTCACATACCTTATAATGAAGAGTATTTTGAGATGTAGGCAGTTTTAAATACCTGTACACAATAGTCATTCCATTCCCCCCCTTCCCCCCCATAGGGCAAGAGCACTGGCCAAAGAAAGAGAGAGTGAGAAAGAGAAATCACCCCCCCAGAGTGTGTGGCCATGCTACAATCCCTTCTTCTCTATTTTCCTCTTGGGATTTTGGGCTAGTACATACATGTACCAGGTGTGTTTCTCAAGCTGCCAATCTGGGACTTAAACCGTGGAGTCACCCGTGTGGGATCCAGTGCCTTAATCACCACACCACCTGCTTGCTCAGTCATTCCATTTTTATGAACAGTTAGTCAGAGAGCATCCATAAAACCAAGTGATGAATCTGCTAGTATCTCTTTAAATTCAAAATAAAATTATATATTCTAAATCCAAATCTCTTTTTCTAGTAATGAATTTCAAGAATACAAACCAATTTCCTGAGAAGACAATAGAAAATAAGAGAATGGAAATGGTACAGCTGTCTATGATCAATTGCTAATGTTTTAAAACAATTTAATTTTGTTACATAATGTCTCAAATAAACTGGGTCAGCCAGGTGTGGTGGTTGTTGCTGCTGGATCCCACACAGTTGACTGTGTGCGACTGAATCCCGACTGAGCTGCGTGGGAAAACAGGCCTGGTTCATGCCCAAAATCCTGAAGGAGGAAGGAATGGAGAAGGTATCGCATGTGGCCAAGCACCTTGGTAGGGGGGGGGGGGGGGGGGGGGCGTGCTTTCTCACCTTCTCACTCTCTGTTTTTCTGTCACTCTGATGAGCGCATGTGCCCTCTGTCAAAATTAAAATAATAATTTATTTCCCATACTAACCCCTGATCTTTACTTCTATTTATACAGTATAATCTTTCACTTGACACCATTTTCATTTTCATTTATTTTTTTCTATAAGAAGCCTGTGTTGGCTAGAGAGAAACAGAGAGAGGGAAAAAGACCACCCTACCCTCCCCCCCCTCCCAACACACACCACCACCACCACCAGTGATGGCCCATGGCTCAATCCCTTCTTTTCTATACTCTTCTAGAAATTTTGAGTATGCATGCACATGTGCCTGGCCTGTTTCTCAAGGTACAGGGTCAGGAACTTGAACTGCTCAGTTGGCCATGTGGGATCCACTCACCTTAACCACCATACCACCAGCTAGCTCTGGACACCATTTAAAAATATTTAACAACTTAGATAAATAATCCCATTATTATCAAATATTTCTCTGGCTTTTAATTGTTTTATTACTTTGGTAGTTAAAAATTTTTTCTATGTAGCTAGAATAAATATATTTTCTATTTTTATCTATATTAAAAATATTAATTAACTTTCTAACTTTAAATTCACTGAAATCACATGATGTGTAGTATATATACAAACTTAATTTTTTCTTATATTAGAATATGCTAAAACAATTCATTAAATAGTCATTTCAGTTATTTATTAAAAACATTACTTAAAAAAAGGCAAGGTCTTACCATTGTCTCCCCCTGCCTCGCCATTCCCTGCCTCGGCGTTCCAGCTAGAACTACAGGCACATGCAACCACATCCAGATCTTATAAAAAATATTTATTTATTGGAGCCAGCAAATGGCATAGTAGTTGAGGTGCTGGACTCCCACACAGTCAACCGTAGTTCAAGTCCCTGACACGGACACTTGAAATTTCATCAGGCACATGTGTGTACATGCCCAGAATCCCAAGAGGGGAATGGAGGAGAAAGGACTGCGGTGTGGTCGTCCCACTGTGGGGTGATTTCTCACTTTCTGTTAAGCGCACATACCCTAAAAGCGAAAATCTCTTCAAAAATTTATTTCTCCCAAGAGACAGAAACCCTGAACAGGGTCCCACATTGCGATCTACTCTAGGCCTCAGCCAGCCTGGATCACAGGCCTGCTATGCATGCTTGGCATGCAGAGGAAGGATGGAGGACATAAACCCAGGAACTTTCCATGTGGGTCTACCTGCACTACCACTGTGCCACTGCCTAGTCCTCAGGCTCTTTCTTAAACGGGGTCTCACTATGTTGCCCAGGCCAGCCTCAGGCTTGAGATCCTCCTGCCTTGGCCTCCCCAATTGCTGGGATTACAGGCTCGCAAACCTCGCCTTTTAGGTTAGACCAGGAAGCAAACCCAGGTTTCCCATGTAGTTTCAGCGTGTGGAGCACAGTGTCTTAGCAAAGCACACCTGTGTGACTGGGTCTTATTTTATTTTTTATACTGTTTGTTTTATAATAAAAATGTTAAGCAACTGGGGCCAGCAAGTGTTTCCTATAAAGCCAACCACTGCTTGAGTGCTGAACCCAGAGGCTTGAAACTCCATGCCAGTGTGCCTGTGTGTGTGTGTGTGTGTGTGTGTGTGTGTGTGTGTGTGTGTGAAAAAAAAGAGGAGGGGGG